ACTTAAAAGCCTCACAATGACGATTCCTTTCAATAATATTAATAATTTTTTAAAAATAAATGCTTGACAGACTTAGAATATTTTATAGGATTGGAAATGACAACTAGGAAACTGCATTTATAAACTCTATGTCTGATTCAAGAGAGGTCATTATATGTGGTAAAAGGCAGATTTCCAAATCGATGCTTCCCCCTCCTTCACGACCTGGAAATGATGTGACCTTCCCATCAAATTTGTTGGCATATCCACTTCTCACTGCCACTGCTTTCCCCATTCCAAACTCACTCCCATACATGTTGAACCTTGGTGAGCTACTTATCAACACAACGTACGGCTCCAAAGGCTGACTTGTGTGCTTGATCACTGGAGTCTGTAACCACTCTTGGAGTAAATGCAACACCTCTCTGTCATTGTGCCTTGTAACAGCAAGGTGCAACTTCCCTGCAGCCCATCCTAGATCATTCTCAAGTAATTCCCCAACTGTCGTTTCCGCACTCAACTTATCAACCGAGTTTCCAAAGTATTCATGAGCCAGAGGTGGCTCCATTCTTGACCGATTGTTTGCAGTTAAGTCGAAACGTGTTTTTTGCTCATATGGTAGGGAGCATGCTCGAATTATTGATCTCCAAACAAGTGCTGATAATGACTGGAACGAAGAGATTTTCGTCGTATTACTGTTGGACTCTGAGTTTGCCTTTGCTTTCAGTTTTCCTATCGACTCTGCTGAAAAGTGGAAGATTCTCTCTCTCAGCAAGGGCGCTTCATACCTCCTGATAAACTCGTCGTGATGTTTGAAAGGAAGATTGATTGGTGGACTGCAATCATTTGGAAACCAGCGATTGTGAATGGGTTGGCGCAAAATGGGAACATCATATTCTTGGGCTTGAGGTTGTGCTTCAAAGATCTGAGACCATGTATTGAAGAAATTCCAATACGAAGTGCCATCACCGACGGAGTGATTCATGGAACAAGCTATGAAAACACCATCGATCAATTCGGTGACTTGGATGGACAACAGCGGCATGGTGTGACCGTCATGGTTGACTGCTTTGTGGTGGTCGAAGAATGAGTGAAAAATGGATGGGGTGTCAACTGGGGAGAGTAGTTCAGATATGGTGACATCAAGAGTTGCATGAATGAATCTAGCTCCATCACTGTTTTTGCAATCAACAGAAACAGTATAAGAGGGAGGGTTTTGGGTTTTGTGGGTAACAAGGCGACCAGACAATGGATAGAAATAAAAAAGGGTGAGTGAAAGAGAGTGTTTGAGCTTCTCCAACAGATTTTGCACGAAATCGTGTTCATCAACATGGGTTTCAGGCTTCTTGAAGAGAAGACCCTTTTGGATATAGTGCACAGACAACATAGAAATATCCCAAGGTGTTAAATTGCATATTTGGTTTGTAACTTGGGTTAAACCATGCGGTTTGACGAAGCATTCTGAAATGCGTCGAACGACAGGAGTAACCATGATTCAAGTTTACACACAAGTTTTGGTCTGTGTTGAAGAGAGAAATCGTAAGTGCTAATAAAATATGCATTTAAAGGTAACATAGACGGATGAGTTAAATGAAAACAAGTTTTTAAGTTTTGCCAGGAAACTTCTACCCATTAGCATATAGGAACCAAATGCGATTTTGAATTTTGCTAGAATGTGTCCCCACTAGAATATAGTTTAGAATTATTCACTCCTATATTTGAAGATTCGATATCTTAACATTCCATTCTCACACACCAACTTATTTTATTACTTTTATATTTAATAATTTAGTTTATATTTAATTAGAATAGCTTAATTAATTTAATAGTTTTTATTGTTGTTATTTGAATGTCAAAACAAAACAGTGGTGTAAGCAGAGCTTTTCCGTATTTAAACTCAACCATTTTAGGAGCTATTTTTAATACAAAAGAAATTATTTATGTTAATTAATATTTTTTATTAAACGTTAAATAATGTTAAATAATATTAAAAAATGAAATATATATCTCACAGACAAAGATTGATTGAAGTTATATAATCTCATACTAGATAATAAATTATCCAAGCCAAAATAAAGTAATAAATTTTCTAATTTTCTATATTTTATTATATTTATATTAGCTAGAGCAATCTAGGAAATGTGAGGTAAAAATTAGGGCAACGCATTTTTTTGCATTTTTCTCCTTTATAAGTCTCATCTTGTTTAGAAGTCGAGAGCTAAGAGAGTTCAAATGTTTGTTTTATATTCCAAAAAAACCTATTTCAGTTTTAAGTATAATTTTGTTTTTTAAAAGAAAAATTGAAGTATAATTCAAAATAAAAGGTTTAGTGAATATTGAATTGCATGAAATACACATAACAATTATTTTTTCTTAATTATGTTTGATAATGTCTTTTTTGTAATTGGTACCGTCAATCTCAAATCCAAGCAATGAATATTATTTTTAAACATACATCGACGTTCAAATTTATAGTTCATATAGGTTACGCTGATTCAAAATTATATTAAATACTAACAAGGGTGAAGTTTAAAAGATAATATTTGATGAACCGATTCTCAAATCCGAATAGGAGGAATGGCTAAACATAAGATTGCGTAAAGAAAAACTATAGCTGTAGGGAAAATGTGGAAAAAGTAATTTCATATTGATTAGTAGATAATGAGTTTGAGTTTTATAAAAAAAATAAAGTTTAATATATATGATATATTATTTTGGTTGAATGAGTCCGAATACGACTCAGAAGTTCAGAATATCTTATTATTCTGGTTAAAAGATGGCTAATAAGAATGGGTTTTTCTGTCACATGCAAAGAGATGAAACAAACACATCCAATTATGTAATTTATGTCATTGTTTCAGCATCAATTCGGTAAGATGGATAAGTGGAGTATGATGACTACTTGAACAAAAGTTTGCTTATGATACCATAAAGAACCCCAACTTCCATTTATGCACAATAGGAAAATATCCTTTCAGCCTCCTCAATAGACTGCTAAGAAATTGTCACCTACACCAACCTCTACACATTTGTTTTATTTATACTCTTCAATTAAAAAATTTCGCTGTAAAAGGAATCTATACGTATGATGTATATATCACAACTTTTGGACCGAATGTTATTATATTACTATACTTGTGCTTTGTCTAGATCACGCTGTAAAATAATATTAATAAATAAAACTCATACCATGGAAAGTTATGTTTCCTAGCTAAATTTTTTTATTCAATTTAATAGAAAAAAAAATAAACACAGGTAAAAGATAAATAAACTCATTATGTGAATTGGATTTATGTTCATTTACATGTTTATCCAGTGAATTTAATCTCGGAAGAGACACAAAATTATTTCAAAAATGTAGTTAATAAAACTATAAAGTAGCTATAAGATGTATGACTTCTTTAAAAAATATAAATGTAAATCTAAATCTCACATTAGATAAAAATTAAAAAGTGAAACACCGCATAAAAATAATAATATATAAATCCATTTTCTAAGATTTTGAATTAAGAGAATATTAATATTTTATTTGGTTCGACTCCAGTCTCATTAATATTGTGATTTTCAAGTGAATAAGTTCACAAAAAAGATCAAGATACAATTTCTTATTCTTCCGTGTCCTTAAGTTTTAGGATTTTTCACTAATTTATATTATAATTGTCTAACTCATTTTTACATAAGGGAGACACCGAGAGATTTGCTTCCAATGAATTATGAACAAACTCATAAAAAGACCAAATCATCATTTCAATAAAAAAATTTAAAGTAATGAGTTATGATAATACTTATATATTAATCATTTTATTCATTCTTATCTAATATAAAACTTAAATTCACCTTAAATTTCTAACACTAGTTAATAGAGCTAAACTAGAAGATGGAAACATGTACAATTTTTCTATATTAGAAATTCGCATAACATTATTTTCTACATATTATATTTGTTTGTTATGAAAGGTTTGTTGTAAAAAGTTAACAAAATAAAACTTCATGAGACGTCAATTTATTGTTTTTAAAGACTTATACACGATGTGTTGTGTAAATCTTTCAAAATATAATAAGAACTTTTCTAAAAAAATTTAGGATATCAAAACTAATAAGAAATCTAAAAAAATTAATATCCATATGCTTTAAAAATAAGAAAAGAAAGGAGAAAACAAGGATAAGTAATAAGAGAGCTTGAAAGTGTGTTTCGTGCTTTTAGTGGAAGCACAAATTAGGGGTTTCGAAACTAGTTAAGCAAATCATGACATGAAGAAGATATCTGAAACAGTAACAAAAAAAAACCCCCAATAGGAACAGAGAATGAATTAAAATAAACTCTGGAATGGATAGTTTTATTGTAATCAAAATATGACAGAGGTTGATATGGGTATTTCAAAGTGAAAAAAGGAAACTGAAAATATATGAAAGGTATTCAGCCAATACAAGAAGATCCCAATAGCATCTCACACCAATGGATTAACCGGTTATTCATATAAAAAGAATTTCAGAAGGAGAGGTAGTACAGTAAGAAGAAGGGGAATAACAGAATTGGTCAGAGGGAACATACCACACGCATATCTTCCCTAGAGCACGTAATCCTTCATAAAATATTTCTCTCTCTTACGCCTCATGCTTTTCCTGCTCCTTTTCCTGTGGATCACCTGCCAAATGATTTTCTGGGTATGACAGACCTGTCCCAAATCCAGCTCAGCATTTGTTAGACTTTCATTTTCTCACCCGTTACAATACTCCTCCCATTGAAAACAACCTTGTCCTCAAGGTGAATTCTGGAAAAGACTGTGTATCTCAGCCTACATCCTCCCAAGTGGCATCAGTGGTATCCAAAGAATCCCATTGAATTAAAATTTGAGGAATCGGTTGAGACTGTCGTATAATGGTCTAGATTCCAAACATTTTAAAGGATGAACAACTGGACCAATATCAGTGGTAGTCAAAGGCAAAGGCAAATAAGTTCGTGAAGGATTACCCTGAAAAGCCTTAAGCAAGGAGACATGAACACAGGGTGAATTCTTGCAGTAGCAGGCAACCTAAGTCTATAAGC